GGATTTGCCAGCTAAGAAGTGCTTTTCAGAGCCTGGTGGTGGTGGTGCACACCTTTAATCCCAGCACTCAGGAGGCAGAGGCAGATGGATCTCTGTGAGTTCAAGGCCAGTTCCAGGACAGGCTCCAAAGCTACAGCGAAATCCTGCTTGAAAAGTGCTCTTTAGGCTGAAAATCCATTAATTAATCTGTAATCCTAAATTACTGCATAATTTTGGTTCATTTTTGGGATGTAGCTTCCTTATAATCTACAACATGTTAGTGGTTTTCTATTTTTCTACTTCTCTGGCAACTTCTGCATTCCTATTTTCTCTAATTCTCTTTATCTGGACCCTCTGGTCTGGTTTGAGAAGTGGTCTCTGGTAGCAAAACTTGTTACCCGCAGGGGCTCCCTCTGCCTCTGCACGTACTTGCTAAGGAACTGGAAGAATGCTTCCCTCTGTGTGGAAGCTGGACGGAGCTCTGTGGAGCTGCATTGCTGCTTGTCACCGGGATGCCGTGTGGAAATGTTTTTGTGGCATTTTACTGGGAGGTATGAAAAACAGAGCCTTAGGACATTTCGAACAGGGCTGGCATTTAGTTCACGGTACTGCCCTGCAGAGTCTAGGAAGATTTGCATGCCACAGGATTGCTCTCATTTAAAGCTACATTTATGCTTACAGAAATGCCTCTTTAATACAATGAATATAGTAGTACTTACAATGCCCATAAAAGAAGTTCAGGTACTATGAACATTTTTTATGGACTGAAATGCTCCGCTCCCAAAGTGGGGGTAGGATGGGGCTAGGGCATGCCTCACACTCCTTCTCCTCTAAGTACATCACAAGGCTCTCAAGAGTCCTGCTTTTTTTTTTTTATTAAAATTTGCATTTGGGTATGGTGAGATACTTTAAAGGAAGAAATAATTTGCTTTTACAGTACTGAGTTTTTATTTCCCTGTCTTCTCAGTCCCCTAAATCAACCAACACTCCCCCCCACACACACACACTTAATTTTTCCACCCTCTTTTCCCCCTCTGCCCTAATTCCTTAATATTTCTGAAAGAAAGTGACAGCAATGGAAAACTGTAGCTATTTCGGATATTAAATCATCTGTTGATATTTTGACATTCCAATTTCTTACTTCTACTAGTTAGTTAGACCACAGTTTTTAGCACATGTATTTGTGGGTGTGTGCTGCAGCAGATGTTGGTTCTCTCCTTCCAGGATTGAACTTAGGTTCATTACTAAGTCTTTTATTGCTTAGTTATTTTGTTGATTTGTTTCTTGAGACAGTCTCAGTGTGTAGCTCAAGCTGATCCGGAACTCACTGTGTAGCTCAGGCTAGGACCATGGTTGTGAGCGACCATACCGAGCAGTTGGCTGCTCTTTATAGCATCTAGGATAGTTCTTTGTGTCTACATAAAAATAGAGCTGAATTTTGTTATTTAAAACATGATCAACAAAGAAAAATGCCCACCTCTTTGTTTTTTAACCTCTTTGTTTTGAAGTAGTTAATTACTTGTATGTAAGTATGAGGCAGAGAACTTCCGTGGACCTCACCTTCTTTTTGGGAGAATAAAGTCCTGCAAAACTGACACAGCCAGATTGTCAATGCTGACAGCATCTGATGTGGATCTTTTCCGTTACCACAGGCATCCCTGACTTATAGCTGTTCAAACTAGACTGTTCTCCATTCTAGAACTCGATTATTTCAAAATCCTCATATAGATGGAGCTATCTAGTGTGGAACCTTCTCCTTCTGGTTTTTCATAATGGACAAATTTCTCAAGACCCATCGAAGTTACTAAACTAAATCTGTATATTACTCTGGCTGCTGAATGACCACAGTTTTTTAACCATTTTACTGCTGCAGAATTTTCTGGCTGTTTCCAGCTCAGCTACTACAAGTAATGCATGAGCATCACGGTCGGGTAATCATGTACTTCTTCCTCCATCATGATTGCCTAAGTGCCTGATGGGCTAGCTAGTTATGTGTTGTCTTAGACAAATGCTGAAATGTTTTACATTTCCTTTCTAAAACTTCATATTTATTTCTATTTTTGTATGTGTGCATAGGCACACCTGCAACAGCTCACTCCTGTGAAGGTCGGGACAACTTTCAGGAGTGGGTTCTCTCCCATGAGGCTGTTACATGTAATGGTTACCCAATTTATTATAGTATAATAAAACCTCGTAAGTCAGAAATTGAAATAAAGACCTGAAAAATCCAATGAAAGCAGAGTGATTGACTGACCCTCTCTCCACCTTTTTTCTGAACCACCAGCAGCAGAAACTCCCCAGAACTCCACCTCCTCTTGGGGGAGGGGCTCCTAAACCCTCCAAGAACTTTATGGCTAATCCTGGTGAGCCAATCATTGACTATCCTTTGATTCAAGGTTGCTTTATTGGCACAGTGGATTGGCTGTATGGTCAGTTCTCCTGCACCACTCCCGCCGTGATTGGGAGTATCAGACTCAGGCCCTCAGCAAGTGCATTATCTTTTATCTACCAAACCATCTCCCTGCCCCATCTTTTACATTTCCGTTAACAGTGTGAGTTTCTTCATTTTTGCTGTATTTCCCGTTGTCTTTAGTTTTCATTTCAGCCATATCTGTCAGAATGAGTAATATACATCTCGTGGCGCTTTTTGCCTTACACTTCCTGAAGGTTATGATGTTCCTGTCTTTAGCTATATGGCCTCTTTGGTGAATGAAGTATCTTTCATGTCTTCACCCGTTAAGTCTGTACTCCAGCTACTGGTGTTTTGTTGTGGATGTTTTTACAGTATTTTCCAACACACTATCCTATCTTTTCATCTTCTTGACAAATTTTTTTTTTTTTTTTTTTTTTTTTTTTTGGATTTTCGAGACAGGGTTTCTCCATAGCTTTTGGTTCCGTTCCTATCCTGGAACTAGCTCTTGTAGTCCAGGCTGGCCTCGAACTCACAGAGATCCGCCTGCCTCTGCCTCCCGAGTGCTGGGATTAAAGGCGTGCGCCACCACCGCCCAGCTGACAGAAACTTTTTGAGAACAAAAGTTGTTGTTTTGGTTTCAGCGTTGCTTGTTTGTGTTTTTTAATTTTATTTATTTTAATGTGTATTGTGTTTTGCCTGCCCATACTACTGTGCACCATGTATGGATAGTGCCCACAGAGGTTGTGTCAGATCCTCTAGGACTAGAGCTACAGGTGGTTGTGAGCCACCCATGTAGGTGCTGAGAACTGAACCCAGGTTCTTTGAAAGAGCAATCAATGCTCTTAACTGCTGAGCCATCTCCCCAGCTCCTGATTGTTTGTTTTGGTGTGTGTGTTCTTTTGAGACAGGGTCTCTCAACATAGCCCTGGCTGCCCTGGATCTCACTCTGTAGACCAGGCTGGCCTCAAATTCACAGAGTTCTATTTGCTTCTGCTTCCCAGAGATTAAAAACTTGCATGAAGTCAGTTTATTACTGTGAATGCTAAGAACTTTCTGCCTAATTATAGATCTTGCATCAGTCTGGTGTGGTGGCACATACCCATCATCCCAGCACTCAGAGGTACAGGCAGAAGGATTACAAGTTACAGTTATCATTAGCTAGAGCAAGTTGGAAGCCAACTAGGAATATATGAGATCCTGGAAAGGGTGGGAACAGTTTTAAGACTTAGTTAATAATGAATAACCTTATTAATCTCATTTTTGGGTTTTGGGTCTTTTTTTTTTGTGTGTGTGTCCTTTGTATTGAAAAGTGACAAATTTAAAAATGAGAGGGTTCCGTTCCCTGTTTATGCTAAGAGATATATGAATGTTCCATATATCTGATGACTCACTCTTATTTGTTTGTTTGTTTACCTTTTGTTGTTGTTTTGGTCTGGTGTTTGAAACAGGATTTCTCTGTGGAACAGCTCTGGCTGTCCTGGAACTCACTTTGTAGACACGGCTGGCCTCAGACTCAGAGATCTGCTTGTAGGCAAAGGGTATTATTAAATAGAGTAAGGACGTTCATCTCAGAGTAGAACACCCTACTGAGTCGTAGAAAATGAACTGTGGAACAGCATGGAGGACACAAGGAGAACATGAGCCGGAGCTGCACGAACACTGAAGACTGAGCCTATGTCACACGGTCAGTTGGAAGCAATAGAGCCTGATGCACAAGTGCAGAGCAACAGGAAGGGCCATGTGATGGAAGGCACTGGACTTTTCTAAGCAAAGGGAGGTATTAAGGAACTTAGGGGAAGAGACTGCTGAGTGAAGATGCTTTGAAGGGGACACAGAGTAAGTGTCAGAGCCTTTGGCCATCAGTTGACAAAGAACAGGATGATTGGTGTCATTCTCGCCTCTCTTTCTATATGTGAAGCATGGTCCAGCTCATGGATTCTGTGTGAGGACTCAAAAGCCCTCTCTCTCCAAGATTGGCAGTAGTTCTCACTCGGTCAGTTGGGACCAGAAGTTTCTTCTCCTCCTCTAGTCTAATATATATATGTGTGTGTGTGTGTGTGTGTGTGTGTGTGTGTGTGTGTGTGTGTAAGACATATACATGCAAGTTATATATTACATAGGGGAAACTTGCATTTTAAACATAGTTTTTCAAGGCTCCAAGAGTAGATAAAGTGAAGGGATAGTATTACCCAGAATTATATGTCAAGAAAGAAGAATTTGACCCTCACAATTTATTTATTCTTAACTTCTGCTTTATTTTCTTTCATTTATAGAGGTTTAAAAATATCAGTTACTGTTTTCTTCTTGGGAGAACTAAAAGGAGAAAAAGCATAAAGATTCAATTCTTGCTGCTACTTTGTACCCATCTGTGCCTTCCTATTTCCAGTTGTGCAAATGGACTTTAGCTTTCCAAGTTCCCCACTGTGTGCACTGGGTGTAGCATTGCACCCAGTTAGTGGACTTTGAAGGTAAATGAACAGAATAAACTACTGCTTCTTCATTTCATGTAGGGTGACGCTATCTGTATGGGAATGTGTGTCTGTATCCCACGTCATGCAGTTCATCCACTTAAAGTGTATTACTTAATGGTGACATGTCTCTTTAACAGGGAAAAAAAGATGTGACCCAGATATTCAACAACATCCTGAGAAGACAGATTGGTGCACGGAGCCCTACTGTGGAGTACATCAGTTCTCACCCTCACATCCTGTCCATGCTCCTCAAAGGGTAGGTACCTGGCTTCTCAGGCGTAGCTGCTTAAAAGTATGCAGTGTGCCCCCTGGCCCCAGAACTGCAGGGTCAGTGTCTGCAATGTAAGAGCAGCCCTCCAGATCCGGCTCTAAAAGGCGTAAACCTAGAGGACGTCCTTCCTTTGTGCTCTCCCCTCGTCAGTGTTGTTTGCATTTCCTGCCTCTCTTTCCTCTGCCTTCTTGCTGTCCATGTCTCTTTCTATAAACTTCTTTTGCTTCCTCGTCTTCCCCGTGCATACCTGCCCTATTACTGCTTTTCTGCTTGCATGATGTTATGTCCCATCATTGCACACACAAATGCACTGGCGCACATTCTAGTTCTCCAACTCAAACGATAGGGCTAAGCCTTCTTGTAGTAGCGAACATGTCGGAGTGGAGATAAATGATCTCTGTGGGTATAAACAGACGTTTACACAGAGCTATAAAGGGGGAGAGGAACCCTGAACTCCAGGAATTCCTGGTTATTGCTTTCCAAGTCTACTCACACGTGTGTCTTGAGCATCAATATGCTTCAATAAGCCACTCTGAATCCTCAGCATTGGTGCTCTAGGTGCTGTGAGACATGCAGACAGCAGGTGACGGTCCCCCCCTTCTCCCCCGTGCTCCCTTTCTGTTCCTGTTCCGTATCTCAAGCCAGCTCAGCTCATTTCACTGCCCAGTATTCTTGTTTCCAATGCTGTGGGGCACGTGAAGTCTCTTCCACCTGTGTCACGTTCCTCCCCTGCCGATGTGTAAATATTTAACTGTGTTAGTGGCATATACACAGTTTGAGAGTCAGCTGTCCAACAAACAGGAGCTCTTTCTTTCTCCATCCCTCTGTCCCGTTGCCCAATCTCAGCCGTTCTCTTTTATTTATTTATTGAGTTTTAAAAATCATACATTTACCTCTGCATTACAAATAATTCTTAGCTTTTGAGTTGGTGGAATCTAGTGGTTTATCAAGTTAATAGATTCCTAAAGGTTTTCATCTGTCAGTCACAGGGTGTTCTGACACAGAAGTAAGCAAGAAAATGACTAGTTAGGGGCTAAATCCAGCCCCAAGATAAGGCTCAGACCTGCAGTACAAAAGCCCCGCCACACCACTGCAGTCCTCAGCCAGTCAGTTCTGCAGACACCACTTCTTTCCAGGAATTCTCATTCAGATGTAAGTGGGAGGAGGAGGAGTTTAAATTGTTGTGCTTCTGGGGACAGGGTGGATAAGGAGACACATTGGCTGGAATAGCTCTAACTCATCCAGTGTAGGAAGGGGCACTTCCTGTTTAGCCCTTTGTTAAAGTCAGCATTTTTACTAAATTACCTGTTGTGAAGGTCATTGAAAATTTAGGCTATATCTTGTATATCAAACAGTGGCATTGATTAGGGGCTCAATGGTAATATGCTACACTAAACACAAGTCCGGCCACATGGAATATCACGTAGAAAGAAATTGATACTTGTATAATAAGAAGAATCTGCATGTGATGCATAAGGAACTTAGCACCCACATTTTATGAAAAGGACTTTTTAAAGGACCATTTCATTCTAAATTAATTTTTTCCTGGCTGAGACAGGTGACATTCCAGCTGCAAATGAGGTCGTTAAAGTTCTCTCCGTGTTCCATAAAGAAATCAAAGCTATGAGGAGATGTTCTACCTAATGTTAAAACCACACATATTTCCCCAAATCTTAGTTTTTAAGTTCATTGCAAAAATTTCTAACCATCTACAAAAGTACCAAATGCAACAGCTCATGTTCCCATCACTCAGCCATCACTACTTAGCGTGGTGCACACCATCTTGCCGCTGTGCAGCACCCAACTCTCCTTTTTTTAATTATTTTTTAACTCATTTTAGTATTTATTATTCTATTATTTATTATTTTAACCAAGTACAGTTCCCCTTCCTTCCCCTGCTCCTGCTCCCTGCCCACCTCCTTCCAAGCCACCCCCCACCCACGCCTCAGAAAGGGTAAGACCTCCCATGGGCATTAAGGCTGAGCAAGGCATTCATTCCACCATAGGGAATGGGTTCTAAGAAGTCAGCTCATTCACTAGGGATAGATCCTGGTCCCATTGCCAGTGGTCACACAACTGTCGTCCACATGCAGAAGGCCTAGTTCAGTCCCATGCAGACTCCCCAGCTGTCTGTCTAGAGACTGTGAGCTCCCACGAGTTCAGGTCAGTGTCTCTGTGGCACCCAACCTTTTTAGTTGAGGTATTTTAAAAAGCAAATCCCTGAACACTTTGATAGGTATCTCAAAACGGAAGATAATTTCATTTATCCACATTTAAAAGTTAATAAAATTCTGTAACAACCAATACCCTTCCTGCACTCAATTTTCCTTATAGTTTTTTTTCCCTACACTTCACATATTGAAATAAGTATCCTAACAAGGTCTACTTAGTGTATTTGGTTATGATTTTTGTTAGCCAAAAAATTTTAAGTCCCTCTCACTCAACACCTCATCCATCCACATGTTTCTGTGCTATGAGTCTGTTGATAAGTGATTGTCCTGCACAACTCTGTTGTGGAGTTGTCACACTGAGTTCTTATAGAGTAATTTAAATTGTTACATAATCTGGCATGAGGTGGCCAGCAGGTAAAAGTGCTTGCTGTACAAGCCTGACACTAAACCCGGGAACCCATTCCTAAAAGATGTTCTTTGCTCTCTATGCATGGCATATGTATTGCCCCTCCCCATAATATTGAATTAAGTAAGTTTTAAAAATAATAGTAAATCTTTCCATTTTTACTTGCTTCTAGACTCGGTCTGTTTAAAGACTTTATTAGATTCAAACTGAGCTTTTATTTTGGCAGTAGTATTGTCCTGGTAGTTCCCCGTAGTCAACATTCCCATCACATCAGTAGACATCCCTCTAAAGATGCTGAGACTGGGTCCTGGGGCTCAGATGGTAGCATCTCATTAATTATAAGGCTTTCTGTCATCCTTACATTGATCTTTTTATCAACCAGTGATAAGCATTGTCTAATTTGGTTATTTTGTTAGGGGTCACAGAAAGTAATTTTCAAAATCAATCCTTTGTTAATTAGTTTTCTAAAAAGAAAAATAACTTTCAGACACCATAACTGTTATTTTCAAGTAGAATTCATATCAGAAAGGCAGAATAAATACTTATTTTCCTTTTCAGCTTGGATAAGTAATTGTCCTAGAAACTTACATTGTTGTCGGTGACTTCCTGCCTCTCCTCTCTCCCTGTCTGCATCTGTCTCTACTCTACTTCCATCTCCTCTCACATACACAAGCATGCCCATCCGGCATCTTATTAACTGAGGAAATATTCCCACATAGCTCAGTATTGTGCAGAATTTTCTTAACATTGAATTAACTGTGGCCTTTTCTAGACACCTCACCAAAATATTCTGAAAGAACTTCTTTGCTTTCTGATGCAAGAAGATCTACTAGACCCAACCTCAAATCTCCAGACACAGATCTGGCCTCTGGTTCTTTGATGAGGAATAGTTCTTAGAGACATTAGTCTGGACTCTCAGTTCTTACACTGAATTGTGACCATTCCTAACCCTTCACAGTGGACCAAGGTAATTAATTATTTTTAAATTATGCAAATGCTTCCAGATTAGAAGTAGATCTTTTTGACTATTAAGTAGGTAAAGTGTTCAGTAAATGGCATTTTATAAGACATTTGCCAACGGCTGTCACATGGCATTGTTTGTTCCCAGCAGTAACAACAAGTCATTTTCTTTTGTATAATACAGTCTTTGTTCTTGAGATGCTCTTACACAAGATCTTTCTTCTGGCACTTTCTATGTAATTGTCATTGCACTCATGACCATTTGAAACATTTGCTCTTTTTATCTTTTTTATTTTAGTATCGCTTTTTATTCTTTAAAACTGTTATATACTTATATAAAATATTTTTTATCATATCAATGAATGCCTTTTGGTATTAATAACACCATGATTAGGAAAAATCACACCTTGAGTCCAGTTAATGCTGTCCACATGCACACAGATATGAAACCATCCACTGAGGTATGGACAAACTATCAGTGGTTGCATCCCCAAAAGAGAGTGACTCTATTCCTTCAGTAACCATGAATTGCTTTTAGCTCCTTTGCCTAGGGTGGGGCTTCCGAGTAAAGTTCTTACTGGCTTGATCGTATGCAGGTATCATGCAAATAACCACAGGTTCTGTGAATTGATGTATGCGGCTGTCATGTCATGTCCAGAAGTCTGTACTCCACAGCTCTCCTCCCCATCAATCACCTCTTATATTCTCTCTGGTCACTCTCTAACTTTTCCCTGCACCTTGGATGGGAGTTGAAGAGTTTTTCAGCTGAACACTTAGGGTTTCTTATACCCAGCACCCTGACCAGATGTGAGACTCTGCATTCAATGCTGTGCTTGCAAAAAAGCGACTTCTTTAAGCAAAGTTGAGAAGAACACAAATCCGTGGGTATAAACAAGCATTTAGAAAGCAGTTTAACAGTATGACCATTTAATAGCAATAGTAAGTACTCCCGGTAGAGCCTTTGATCTCCCGACCATAGGTTTTTGACCAGTTTTACAATACGAGTCATTGAAATCCTTCGTATGGACCAGGCCTCTTATCTAATTAAAAGAAAGAAAGGAAGGAAGGAAGGAAGGAAGGAAGGAAGGAAGGAAGGAAGGAAGGAAGGAAGGAAGGAAGGAAGGAAAGAAAGAAAGAAAGAAAGAAAGAAAGAAAGAAAGAAAGAAAGAAAGAAAGAAAGNAGGAAGGAAGGAAGGAAGGAAGGAAGGAAGGAAGGAAGGAAAGAAAGAAAGAAAGAAAGAAAGAAAGAAAGAAAGAAAGAAAGAAAGAAAGAAAGGAAAGAAAGTGTTTTGTTACCCCCATAACCATCATACCACTGTTTGCACCAATGGGTACATCTTGCCAGCCAGGTTGTTATTCTGACATACGGGATCCAGTGGTGGGTGAGGCTATTGATGTCTTTTCTCCTACAGCAGCATGCAGAGTACCCTCCTGTACTGCCTAAGCTAGACAGCAGGGAGAGAGATTCCTGGTCAGTTGAGGTTGATTTCTCTAAAGATGCTCACTCTTCCGTTTGGCTTTAAGTAAGTTTAGAAGGATCTTCTGATCTGCTGCTATAATGAACATGCATATATTGTAGTGCGCCTTCCCCTTGCTGACACAACTAGTCGGGTTCAGACTGTGGTTGTCTAACCTATAAATCAGGGAAGGTATGATTCAGCTTTATAAAACAGTGACCTGCCCTAGGCTAGCCATTGTGGCGTGGTTAGTCACAGGCCCTGTGACAGGAATAGAACAGATTAGGAAGGATAAAGACTAATTTCGAAACCTAAGACAGGCATGGTGCATGGAACATGTCTTTATATAGTAAGCATTAACTTAGGAAACCAGGATTGTCAGGTTGAAGTGATGTGTGTGAGTTATGGACCCTATAGACGATATTGAGGAAAATCAGAAAATTCCCAAACATCCCACTGTGTTCCTTACTTTAAGAAGTGCTGTGTCAGAGAATGACATTTTCCACTGTTGGGGATAAACTCCTGGGATGAATTGATAAGTATTCTCCCCAGTGGAGTACTTCTTAAATGTTCTCTTGGTCCTCAAAAATAAACCATCAGTGCATCACAGATGGTTCCAATAAACTTCTTGAACTGAAAGGAAAAATAGAACTAATTATACCCAAAACTTGGAGTGGAAACTTTTTATAGATGGTCTCAGCTTGGAAACTAAATTCAGGAATGAGAGATGTTGGCTGGAGATCATTCAGCCTTTGTGTAAAGCAGAGGGACTCTCATTAGGGTTCTCTGGTATTGGTAGATTCAGTCTGAGCTTGAGAGTCATTGGAGTCATCGTGTGCCTACACTGAAAAGCACGCTAGGCACTGGAGCTCATGGGGGAGGGGAAGTAACAATAAACAGGACGTAGACGCCCACTGGGACTGGAAGAACAGGGAAATGTAAAAGGGCCAGTGGGACACATCCCCAGACATGAAGGTATTTGAAACGAAGAGATAGAAGCCGGCTTGTCAGGACTCAGTACCGTGTGACAGGACACTACACGATGGGAAGAGTGCTGGTGTGAGGTTAGGGACGGCTCTGTGGAGTGCAACAGAGGAAGAGTACAAAGGACTTGAAATGGGCACTGAGCTCAGTGCTGGAAGATGCATTGTGGTGCCAGACGTGTGAGGGACATTCCACCCGAGAGAACTTCGTCCTCTACGGGCACAAGGGCTGAGATGGGACAGAAAACTGGTGGCCTCAAGCCAGATCCTGGAAGGTCACAGATATCTCACCAGTGAGTGTAGATTTTATTAGTCCTAGATAGTGTGTTTATCTAGGTCTGTTCTCCCCTTAGGCCAGTGCTTCTCAACCTGTGGGTCACGGCCCCTTTAGTATGACATATCAGATATTTACCTTACAGTTTATAGCAGTAGCAAAATGACAGCTATGTAGTAGCAGTGAAAGAATTTTATGGTTGGGGTCACCACAACACGAGGAACTGTATTAAAGGGTCGCAGCATTAGAAAGGTTGAGAACCACTGCTCTGGGCCACTGGCCTTTATTATATAGCCTCTAATACTCTTATCATAGTAAGTATAACTAGTATTTTTTCCTTGACATTTAAGAAAATATGCCCCTCTTTACATCTTTATAACATCTCATATCTAACAGCAGTGAATTCCAGTAGGCTGATTTCCAAATTCCTTTCATAAGAGATTGCTAATAGAAATTACCACGTCTATCTGAACATATTGGCATCTTGTGCTGCTGTGAGCTACTGAAGGAAAACTGAAATAGTACTCAACAGCGGTTCTCATATAGCACACGTGAAACTCAATCTGTACCACCCTGAATGTTCTTTGCTATTTCCCTTATTGTTTTGATTTGTTTTGTTTTTGTTTTTGGCAATTTGAATTTTGTAAAGTAGCCTACTTCCTAAAATGTAGGAAAGGGAATTTTATTTTTGTATCTGAATTTCATGCAGATAATATGGTCATATGAAAAGGGTACATTGTTTTTTATTACTTAACAAAATGTTAGCATAGTAGTTGGTAAGTTTTCATAAGCTATCTTAAAGTTTTTGTGTTTACTTATCGTTATGTGTAAAACGCATCTGTGTGTGGGAATGTGCACATGAGTGCAAGTGTCCTGGAGGCCGAGGTGTTGTCCTTCCCCTGGAGCTGGAGCTGCCCACTGCTGTGAGTCATCTGACAGGGATGCTTGGGCTCCGAGCTCAGCTCCTCTGCAAGTACAGTAGTGCTTGTAACCGCTGAGCCCTCGCCCCAGCCTCTTTAAGTTTTATTTAAGAATTATTTAGTTTTAGTTTCAGACATTTGATTTATTTTATTTATTGAAAACATAATCTTCTGCCACAAAATTAATTTATGTTGCTATTTTTCCTTTTAAATTTTTAAAAATAAACTTTATTATAAAAACACTTGCAAATAAATAAAAAAAATACACACCAAAATAAACCAGACCTAAAATCTATAGTTTAATGAGCTTATAAACAGAATTGGCATTCAAAATGGAAGTTGTGAAGCTTCACTTTAAATTTTATACTTTCTGTGTTAAATATAATTTAAGTACTTAATCCACCACTAAACCCAAAACATCCATATTAAAGCCAGAGCTGGAAGAACAATAAGCTGTATGTCCCCTCTCATAACGTGTGGTAAGTTTGAAAGATAAGCCTGTTCCTTTGTGGGTGCCACACCATCCTGTTCTCAGAGAACACTGCACTCGGTGCCTTTTCAAGAGCTGAGACATTGAGAGGTCTTCTCTGTAGGCCTTGCACTGAAACCAGATCTTAGTGCGAATTTGATTGAAATGGAAAATGATCAATCTGTTTAAAACCATGGTAGAATCTTGTCTTGACTCTGCTTCTCCAGTGTTCTCCAGCGGCAGCTGTCTCTGCCCTGTCTCCCTGCATTTAGCACACGGTTGCCACTGGATCATTCAATACAGGAATTGTCTTATCTGGACTTATCCATTTTATGAAATGGAATATAACGCAGTCCTGTGTTCATTCAGATGTTGAATTTAACATTTGAAAGACATGCTCTTGGGAAATGGGGCTGATCTGGTGTGCCAGCCTTTCTCTGTTCCTCAGTGGATACCATGTTTCTCTAGTCTACTTTTCTATGAGCCATAATTCCACTTCATGATGTCAGTGAGCCAGTCAGGAGGTAGTCCTCTACTGTTCATCTATTGTTTACAGGCTATATTATATATAATCTCTCCTGTCTTTTTCTTTAATTCAAGACAGGTACTCTGCTGACAAGGAGTCATCAATGCTTAGGTATTAGCCATCTCCAAACTGAGGCCAACTGTCAGTGGCAGTTTCTTAACTTTTTCACTATCTCGTTTGTGCATGGTGCCACCATCCACCCAACTAAGCCAAAAGCACAGGAATCATTCTTGAATCCTTAGCATGGATTCATTCCTCATCAACCCCACCTCCTGTATCTCTAAATCTTGTTGGCTCTTCCTTTAGGCAGCATCAACGTCTACCTACAGTCTTGTGTTCTGCCTCTGTCACCGTACCAAGCTGTCATTACTGTTGCTAGGCATCCCTCCTCACCCTCTCTGCCCCAGCTTCCACTCTAGCTGCCCAGTCTACTCCTTAATCCCAAGTAGCCAGGGCCTTTTTAAATTATTTTGATGATTCTGGGAGTCGAACCAGAGCCTCCAGCATGCCTGAAAATTGCTCTCACCGCACTACACCCCACCCCCAGAGCCTTCTGTTGAAAACAAAATAACTTATTGCTTTAAACACTCCATCACACTTAAAACCGAACTGCTTGCCTTAGCTCTCAAATGTATGTGTATGATCTGATCCTGCCCTGCCCTCTTGTGATCCTCCTCACTGCCTTCTCCATCCCACCATGCTGGCTACATTTCCTCTCCTCTGACTCGCCAAGCGTGTTCTTGCCTTGAAGCTTCTTCCTCCTCCTTCAGTATAAATTAAAATACTCCCTCATATTCTCACAGGCACATATGTGAGTAGTCCACTCAAGATTGCCGAGTTTACTGTCTTCAATTTCCACAGCACTTCAGAGCATAGGAAATGACCTTTATATTCTTTCTATTCAGCTTCTTCCTCCCAACAAACATAACCTCACTAAAATGCTGGGGCTGCCATGACAGTGACCTCCCTGTGTGCTCTTGTGTCCCCAGCGTCTGGAATAGCGCCCAGCACATAGCAGGCCATGGGTTGAATGAATGGTGTTGGAATGAACTGTGACAAATAGTGTCTGTGTGTCTGTGATCAGCAGAACTGAGCTGGTGCTTCTGATGCCATTGATGGATTTTGTTAGTGGAATAACTGTTCCGCTTTCTCTCTTGTGCTTTAGATATGAAGCCCCACAGATTGCCCTACGCTGTGGGATTATGCTAAGAGAATGTATTCGACACGAACCACTTGCCAAAATCGTCCTCTTTTCTAGTCAGTTCAGAGACTTCTTCAAGTATGTGGAGCTGTCGACATTTGATATCGCTTCAGATGCCTTTGCTACTTTTAAGGTAAAATTCCCCCCTAAATCAGAGAGGATATTTATTTCAACTAAGTTGACCTTCAGAGAGGCACTTCTACTCCTTAGGCCTAAATGTTGCCAGCCACGGATGAAGTGAGACCAGCCTTTCACATTGCAGAAAAGTGTGTAAAGGACTTAACCCAAGCTTAGTGGAATGGTGTCCAGTGAAGAGACAGAAGGAATATGTCCCGTGTGTTAGCACTGCTGTACATTAAGAATAGGTTAAGGTGATAAGCCCCCACTTCAGGCACGTGTTCAGGGTAGCTCTGGAAGGGCGTGGGGAAGCCAGCAGCAGAGGCTCCCTCCTAGGCGGAACTGGGTGAGAGAAGGAGATGGTCACCAGCACCGTGGAGTGTGAAGACATCAAGTCACTGTATTGGTGTAGCTTTCACACTTCCATGGGGTAAGCAAAATTTTAATATACTTATTATACTGTCAACAGATAAAACATAAGTACACATAGATATGATCGGTCATCTATGTGTACTTATGTTTTATCTGTTGACAGTATAATCATCTGTGTTTTTAATCATCTGTTGTCTCCTTTGTCGTTTTGTGGGTATATTTCACATAACTTAGTTTTTTAATTTAAAAATGTTTTAGTCATGGTACAATGCATACATATTTCCTTTGTAACCATTCTTTATGCATATTTAAATGGCTAAGTCTTTGTCCATCCCTCTCCAAAGCTTTTCATCTTGCAGCATTGAAACTCTGTCCTACTTAACCTCCCTTTCTCTCCTCCCTCTAGTCCCCAACCATGATTCCACTCTCTGTTTTTATGTGTTTTACCATCAAAAGGGTGTTCAGAGAGCATGTCAGAAAGTAGTATAGCTAATTTGCAGATGAAGCTACTGGAACTTATGTATTCAATGATACATTCACCTTTAAGGATTTCATTTTAGAAAGCAATCCATTTATGGTTATGATTCTGCTATTACTTAATTTATTTGAAATCAGTATCAATGGCAGTTACACATTCAGTTTTTCTATAATGGAAAATCTTTTCCTTCAAAGACAGCTGGAAGTTTTGGAAATGGTTAGACAGGGTAGTTGAGCAGCTAAGTGCGCTTGCCACCAAGCCTGTTGACCCTGAAACCCACATAGTAGAAGGAAAGAGCCAACTCCCACATGTATGCTTGGGTGCATGCACCAACACATAAAACAAATAAGTAAGCAGATATATATTATTTAAATTTGAAGAACATAAAGCTATTTGACACCCAAGTTAAGAGGATGAGGCAAACGATTCGCTAGCTACAGCTGTTTCTCTTTTGGCTTATAACAGAAGTCATAATGGAAAAAAGTAAATCCTAAGGTAACTAATATCGAGTCTGGTTTTCTTAACTGTCTATCACATTTTGAAGGTAATTTCTGAGAAGAAATTCCAAAAATTGTGTAAAGGCATCATTAGAAATGTAGACTTTGGAAAGTGGTTAAAACTCATTTAAATATATAGATTGAGTCATTTCTTCAAAAACATTTCAGCAGTTTATTCATTCACATAATTCTAAATGCACTTCTATTATTCTTTTCAGGGTATAAATACATGACATTTTTAAGAAAACTTTTAACTTGTTACTTTTAATTTCTATATATGATCTTAAATATGCATTACAGCAATATTGATACCACTTATATTCTAATATTGACATATACTCTAATCTTACTTTTTAATAAAACTGCTATTGTAAGAAACTCATCACACAACTAAATTAAAGTATCCATTCAGATAGTACCTTGCTCAGTCCCATATTCTGTACATCATGGTGAACTTAGAGTTTATACAGTTGGAATGACTGGGTGATAAACAGTTCTTTACAGAGTAGTTCTTTAGAGGTGGAGAGAGGAGAACAGTGGTTTTCAGCTCAGGAAACTATTACTTGCACCTTAAGAATCTGCTTAGCATATTCTGAGAATGTTTGAAAAACAAATAGCAGTATGTGAGCTCATGAAGACTAAGTAGGGGAAAGTATCAGAACATGGAAAGAGTCCAGAGATGGCTCAGACTGGGCTGGGAAACGCAGAAGTGGGGACTGAAGGAAAGGAAAGTTGCAGGTTAAGGAACGAGACTGGAGTGGAGTGGGGGCTGTGATGATGGGAGACTGGTGAGCAAAACCAAAGTATGTCACGGGGAAAGCAAATCTGAGCAGCTGCCTGGGGATCTTATGAAATCATGGGAACTGACCTGATAAGAGCCATCAGAAGAATACAGATTAAGATGATGGAAGTTTTGATAGGCACCTACAACTGTATTTGCTTGGTAGGCATGCCAAATCTCCGGGAGCTATAGAAGAAAGAAACTACAGGCTGGCCTGCAGTAGACAACACGGGGCTTGAAGGCAGGGCCAGCACAGCCCATTAGGGTTATTTGATGTATCTCAACTAATCTGCATGAACAGGAAGTATAGCAAGACTGAGGATGTGGGGCAGGGGACTATTTCAGAAGAAGTCAGGCCTAGTGTGCGAGAGTCGGTGGTAAATGACAGAACCAAAAAACAGCAGACAGATTCAGAGCTACACAACGTGCAGCTTATTGGGAACTCATGGAAAGGAGCAAGTCTTGGGCAGCGGGGAGAGAGAATTATTGTACCTCAGGCAGGGGCAAGGGGTTTACATGTAAGCTGTGCAAAGGTGAGCTGTGAACTCACTGTACAACTGAAATGTACTTGACCTCTCTCCAAAACAATTAGCGTGTCAAGCGTTAGTTAGGAAACAGCTCAGACCCAGGTGGCCGTCAATAAAAGCATGACCAATTATCTTAACAGTTTGATTTACCCTTCTTACTTTGGGAACGCCTTAGGTTCCCTGACAGGCAAGATGTTTGTAACAACTAAGACTTCTGTAGCCATCTTGAGCTGGGTCCATCCAGGGGAGAATTAAGGAGACCATGAAAATCAGAGGAAGGCATGCAGTGTGAAGGAAGAAAACTGGCAAGACCAGGGACGAGGAAGAAAAGAGCCTGGGAACAAACTGCGCCAAGTGTGGATGCTTCTAAGGCTTACTACCAAAACACACAACTGAGCCTCTGAAAGGGCAAAGCATTCTGGCTGTGGGTCTGTGTATTTGCTTCCATCTGCTAGATGATGAAGCTTCACTGATGATAACTGAGCAAGGCCTGGATCAATGAGTGTACCAGAATGTCATTAGGAATCCTTTTATTGCTACATTCCTTTAGTAGAACAGTAGTATATGGTTTTCTCCTAGGTCCTTGGCCTACCTAATCCAGGTTCTTGGCCACCCAAGCAGTGTGGAGTATGGGGTCCATCTCATGGAGTGGACCTTAATTCAAATCAAATATTGGTTGGTTACTTTCACAAGCTTTATGCTAGTATTGCACCAGTGTTTCTTGTAGGCAGGGCAACATTGTAGGTTGAAGAAGTTGTAACTGGGGTGGTATGTACCTTTCGCCTTTGCTAGCATGCAGAGTGCCTTCTGCTACCATGGACATTAGTCAATGGGGTGGTGAAGGCTCTAGGTAGGCACTCTTCATTTCTCCATGTTTAGTGGATTGTGCAGGTGTTGTCTTTAGCGATGGGTCCTTACCGTCAGTTTGTGGGAGCCACCAATGCCTGAGCAATAGACAGGGTTGTTTGGGTGTTTTCGTGCGCCCCCTTTGGCCAAGAACTCGATTAGATGTATCCTATTCCCAGTATTGGCAGCTTCCTTTGGTGGCAAGAGATGGCCAGTTGGGTCTCTGTCTTCCCCCATTATTTGGCAATTTCATTTAGAACCCCTTCATATATGTATATGTTTTAAGAAGCTTCTACTGTATTATATTTTCATATTACATCTCAAATAGCTTAGTTTTATCTGGCCCTCTCTGTATTCCCTCCCTTGCATCACCCTCTTTCCTTTCCCTCCTTGTTTTAATCCTCCTGTTCCAGGGCCCCTCTTCATCCATCACTAATTATCTATTCTATCTCCCCTTCCTAGGGGACTCCATCCTTACACCCTAGTCCCTCACACACTACTCTGTGACTGTAGGGGTTGTCGCTTGCTTATGAATGACGTAAAAGTTAACACCCACATATAAACAAATACATAACATATTTGTCTTTCTGGGTCTGAGTAGCTTTACTTAGAATAATTTTTCTACTTTCACCCATTTACCTGAGAATTTAATGATTTCATTTTTTTTAATGACTGAATGTCATTCCATTGTGTAAATGCTCCTTATTTTCTTTATCTGTTCATCCATACACAGGCATCTAGGTTGCTTCCAATTTCTGTATATTGTAAATAGAGCAGCAGTGAGTATACATGGTTAAACAAGTGTCTCTGTGGTAGGATGGGTTGTATAATGGTTCTTTTTTTTTGTTTGTTTGTTTTTTTGAGACAGGGTTTCTCTGTGGCTTTGGAGCCTGTCCTGGAACTAGCTCTTGTAGACCAGGCTGGTCTCGAACTCACAGAGATCCGCCTGCCTCTGCCTCCCGAGTGCTGGGATTAAAGGCGTGCGCCACCACCGCCCGACTGAATAATGGTTCTTGAGGTAGATTGAGCCTGTGAGTTTCGTTTTCCTCCTGTGGGATCTGGAGAAACTGCAGCAGGTGGCACCTCCCCACTGACTTTACCCTGCCCTTGCTGGCAGGTGTCTTTGTCATTTCACACCGCTTTCTCCACGGCAGACTCATTAGAAATGTCAACAGCAGATTTTTTAAATTAATATTGATACTGTGAAGAACTTTCCCCATCAAACCAAATTGTTAAGAAATAAAATGAAAGAATTCACTCAGTAATTTTTTTTTAATTTAAAATTCTTTAAAATTTTACTTGTTTTTACTTTGCATGCTTCTACTGTTTCCTTCTTGGGTAGGATCCAAGCTAATGTTTCTGCATCTTTCCCCTCAAATTATATTATGATCTATAGTAAATTAACAACCGTGTACGTACATAGGCATGCACATGCGATATGATCCCTCAGTGTTAGCACATGGTCTCCATATATATGAATTTGAGGGTTTGTTGATGTGTTTATTATATGCTCAGAGACTAATGTAGCGCTTAGAGAGCCCCCACAGATGCACAGTTTACAGTGTCTGCTGCAACCCATAAAGATACAACTTCTGTTTCTCTGAGAATGGAAAATTCCCCAAGCTGCACAGGGGCTCCTGTGAGATGTGGGGGGAGCTGCAGCTACAGATGAAGATCCCATATCTGCTTAGAGATTGCCCCAAATGCTCTGCAACAGCTTAATGTCTCCTGCATGTCCTGACACAGAACTCATTAGAAAGGACCCAGTCGGGTAGGAATGGAACCCCCATAGAGTGTTTCCCTACTTGAAAGCCCAGTTCCAAAACAGGTCTCATTGCTCTGCTCAACTAAGAAAAGTTTCATTATATCAGCAAAGGGACCAGTCAGGTTAAAGGCTCAGTCAAGTTAAAGGTTGAGCTTGAAGATTATAAAACTACAAATAGCCTCCTCTCATCTTCAAGAAAGGGTATTCTAAGAAAGACAGAAGCTTGTTGAGCTACACAGTCCTGTCATCTCAGTAGCTGGGAGGTAGACGCAGAAAGACCAGCTTTAACCACATGAGTTTGAAGCTAGCCTTGACTGCATGAGACAAAGATGTGAAGAAAAATAAACGGTTGCATATTATTTATATGAATTCAAAATAGTGAAGTACTGTGGAAAACAGTATGGACGAACCTCAGAAATGTGAAATGGGATTATTATAGGACCTAACAGTGCCATTCATGGGTGTTGACAAAGAAAATGAAGTCAGTGTGTTGAAGGGTAATTATTGCAGCATTGATCACAATGGCCAGGGAAAGGAATCGGCCTAAGTGTCCACTGACGGACAAGTGAATACATAGATGATGTAGTGCCTGGAGAGATGGCCCACTGCGAGCCTGACATCCTGAATCTTATCCCCAGAATGAAGCCACATGAAAAGTCAAATGTGGTAGCATGCATTGATGATGGAAGCACCTCAGTAGTGAGATGGGAGGCAGAGGGAGGAGAATCACCCAGAACCCTAGAGTGTGCCACTCAGTAAGAAATGAGAGAACACTGCTCAAAACAAAAGGTTGAAGACAAAATAAAAACAACTCCCCAAAACTGTCCTCTGATGTCCATTATTGCGTTGTACTGACACACACCATATACACATCATACACACACACACAAAAGAAAAGAAATGTGTTGTACACCTACAATGGAGTACTATTTAGCTATAAAAAGAAAAAAATCCTGTCATTTGTGTCAACATTGATGAACCTCAAGGAATTATGTTAAGTAAATAAGACACAACAGGAAGAGAAATCATGGCATCATTTATATGTGGAGTCTAAAGATATTGAACTCATAGAAGCAAAAAACCAGAATGGTCCTGGGGTAAGAGCTGGTCCAGGGATACAAGATTTCCATCAGGTATACAAATAAATGTTGGTTTACTATGGAACATGTTGGTGCCTGTTAATAGCAGTGTGTTGTATTGTGAAAATCACTAAGAGTGTGTTTTTGTTATCCGCGCAAATAAGCAAATATATTAGGTAATGCATATGCTAAGATTTCCTGACTGCATCATGTGTTACCTTTCCACAGCTTTGTATGGCAAAATACTTGAGATACACAAACTTCAACTTAACTTACAGTTTCAGAACATGGTTAGCTGACTGGTACTTTGGGGCTATGGTGAAACAGAAACTCCTGCCAGTGAGGGTGTGGTGGATCAGTGCTGCACGCTTCAGTGCAGAAGGAAAGAGAGTGTTGTCCCTTCAAAGTCCCCACTCCGTCCAGCTGAGCTCTTGTGTATACAATCTGTAGTCCTAGCTACAAGTGCCACTGCCACCCAGGCGTTCAAGACCAGCCTGAGCCTGAGCCAGCATAGCGAGACTTCATTTCCCTCCCTCCCCATACCTGAGGCAGCAGCACTGCACTGGCATTTCGGGGCCATTTAACCTGCCTACGGGCTGTAGGTGATCCTCAGCACCATGGGGAGATGATGCAAAGCACAGCAAGCCACAGACCACTGCACAGTGCGCCAGAATATCATCCACATACAGTGAAGGTGTTTACAGCCAACAAACAAGGTCGCTTAAAGGCTGTGCAAACTGCTTTAAACAGTTTCCTTTTTTATTATTTAAATAGAAGTAGGGGGCTAGAGAGATGTCTCAGGGGATGTCTTCAGAGGACTTGAGTTTAGTCGCAAGCACCTTGCCCTACAGCTCATAGCTGTAACTCTTAACTCCAGGGGATCCGGTATCCTCTTCTGGCTTCCACAAGCTGCTCCACTCACATGCTCCTCCCCTCCCCCACCTACTGTGTGTGAAGGGAGGGAGGAGAATTTTAATTAACTGTATTAAGGTATTATACTTATTCTGGACAGGTTAAAATTTTGTTTTTAATTAAATTTTTCACATAACCTAAGTTGGGTATTTAGCCTCTAAGTATATAAAAGAGATTAGATGAAGCTTATTTTCTTTTTCCAAACATTGGGGTGAAATAGGGATGTGATTTAGGTGTGAGTTGAAGACAACCAGAAGTTCCTTCATGGTTCTTTGCAGTTTTCTCCAAAGTTGTGCTTGTGGTGGGGCTTGACCATTAGTTACTGGCCTTGATAAAGATCATCAGACTTTATTTGGATGTTGATTATAATCATAATGTAAAAATATTCTGTAAAGTTATAGATGATGTGTTTCCCACTTAAATTTTATTTCTACTATATAAAACACTAGATTTGACACTCAGTGTTTTGCCATTGTTTTAATCTGAAACAAACTGGGGCTTCATTATCTTAAGGTGTGGATGGAAATAATTTTGTCTTGTAAATGAAAATGTTCCTTTCCAACTTCTGTGTTTGAAGTGAATAGATTTATCACCCCAGAGAAGCAAAGATTATCCTCCATTTTAATGAGCAAGGTCACTAGCTGTAGTAATATGTCTTCATTGCTTGTTCTTTTTTAGGATTTGTTAACCAGACACAAAGTGTTGGTAGCGGACTTCTTAGAGCAAAATTATGACACTGTAAGTAAAGTCATTTTTCAGACTTCTTTCTTTTTCCTTCTTATTTGTTACTCATGGCTGGCTGTTTAGATGGAACCTGCATATAGATCGGAAATATGGAAGGGGCCTGAGCTGGCAGTGTCAGAGGCCTGAGAACTAAAGGCCCGTGTCCTTTGAAGCCAGAAATTTGCAGTTCTAGATGGCCAGGCTAGAGGCCTATGGCTCTGGGTTCAGACTGCCCATTGGAAGGAAATGTGTTCAGCATAGATATCTGATCTTGTCTGTTTTGGATGGGTGTTCCCCTCTATGGTGGCTGTGGTAGAAAATGTTTCTGCAGCAGGTGGGTGTCACAAGGAAATGGAGCTGGACCAGAAGGAAAGGCTGAGAGGGACAGTGGGAAAGAACCAGGAGGACTCTGGCTCCGCTGTGTTTATAGTTTAGATTCACAATGAACATCATTTGCCTGGTGAATTTATTAATCTATAAAACGTCAAGTGTTGGTTTTCTTTTTGTTGCTGTGACAGAATATAAGAAGAATAACTTAGTTTATTTTGGAATATGGTTTCAGACCATGGTCACTTGGCTCTGTTACTGACTCTGTGGGTCAGAGCTTCACAGTGGAAAGCATGTGGCAATGGAAAGATGCTCACCCTATGGGAGCCAGGACAAAATGCACCCTTCAAAAGCATGCCCCTGGGGTTGGAGGAGAGGGCTCAGCAGGTTTAACATGAGGACTGGAGTTTGGGTCCCCAGAACCCACTTAAAAACTCAGATGGGCATAGCAGAACCCCAGCAATCTTAGTGCATAGGAGACAGAAACAGATGAACAGACAGACGATCCTTGGAACAAGCAGACTAGCCACTAGCTGAACTGGTGAACTCTTGGTTCAATAAAATATCGTGTCTCAGTATATACTGTAGAGTAATCAAAGAAGACAGCCATCAATGTAAACATGTATACATGTATACTGTATACACACACACACACACACAGAGAAAGAGAGAGATCATGACCCTTAGAAGCGTATCTCTCCTCTCCTAAAAATCCATTCAACTATGACTTTATCAAGGAATTAGTCTATTGAAGAAACTAACACTCTTACTATTAATCATTCTTAATAGCACCACAAGCTGGAGGCCAGATTTTCAATACATGGGTTTTTAGGGAGAACCTCCATAGCTGAGCTATAATATTTTCCCTGCGTTCAAGAGAACAAAATGGCTTGTGAAAGAGAATAGTGCCGTGACTTTAATCTGAGCTGCATACTTGTACTTCTCAATTCTAAATCAAAAGTTTTGATGGGTGTGCACATAAGCCTGTGACTCAGCCCCCTGAGGCTGTCCTGTCCCTCTCTGTCCCTTGGGTTTTTTTGCTTCTGTCTGTTTGCTCCTCTAGCTCTAATGTTCTCTGAATGATGCGCCCACAAATGGAGGGAAGTGGATAACAAGCTTCCCCAGCTGCTGTGCTCTGTGCTCCAAAGGCTCTAGCCCATGACCAATGACTACACTGAGATGCAGGAAGATCCGTGTCCTGGGGTCATGGCTTCTTGTTGAGAATGGCGAAAGTTCACATAGGCCAATAGGAGTGACATGGTCATTACCTAGCAGTGGTCACCCAAGCCTCACCTGGTGACTCCTGTTGACATTGTGAATTTGACAGTCCTGAGCAAGCCCTAAGTATAGTTTACTCTTTCCCAAAGTGTGGACCTGCAGCCTCCAAACTACAGAAACAGATTTCTTTAAAATGTGTTATTTTGAAGCTTTAAATAGATTTAGAGGATTCAAAATTATTCCATCTTTCAACTGAATTTCTGGTTTGTAGAACTAATGGTCAGCATGTATCCCGTATGCCTTCAGCTCCATGTCCTGGTCCTGTGTCCAGATGAGGAGTGAGCTGCTGAGCCCTCTGTGTGCAGCGGTGATGGGGCTGGGTCTGAGGACCTCTGGAGGAGTGAGCACACTCCTGCTGCAGAGGACACACTGCTGCTCTTACAGACTTCCTTTCTTCTTCTTAGGTCTTTGAAGAGTATGAGAAACTGCTGCAGTCGGAGAATTACGTGACTAAGAGACAATCTTTAAAGGTAATAGCAGATTTCCTTAAGTCCTTGTAAGCTGACATCTTGCTAACAAACAGTGTCTACTCTGCAGAAGTAAATACAGAAAACTCAGAGTCCCTTCAGTTTGAGAAGTAATTCAGCGGTTATGCTTTATGCTCTGATTGAGCTTTGCCGCAAAATAATGGAAGCGTCTTACTTCAGATACTCTGGAAGCAACAACATGGATGATAATTTATCCTGAAGTCAGATGTGGAATATTTCACTAAGGAAGATGACCAAACCGAAGCTGACTTAAGCAGAACCACATGGTTCTCTTCTGAGAATATTTTAGACATGAAGAGAAAGAAACTGGTCACAGTGACTGGGATGGGGTGACTGTCAGGACAACCCAGTAAAGCCCCTAGAAATCACGCCAATGTACCTTACAACAGAAACTTCAGAATGAACCAATCCAGTGCCTCTCCTGCATCTCTGTGCAGGACACTCAGAGAAGTGGCAATTCCAAAGTATAGCACACAAAACACAAATGTTTAAACACAATATGTTTTACACAAATGTTAAAATTCCTCTCAATGCTTTTAGTTTGGAGATGATAAACCTAATGTTTTTGCATGAGAACAGCTCTTAGCTATGATACAGACTTATAGCGTTGAACTGTCATGGGGCTTCTATGTTAGGAGAAGCATCTCTCCCCCAGGGTTGTAACTATTTTCCTGAAATGTATTTGCCAACTGCATTTCATTGTCAGAACCCTTTTTATCAGCTAGTAATCCTGAATCAGCCGTGCAGTTTGTATACCTTCTAGCTGCTGCGTAGCTCACTTGGGATGTCAGGATGGTGGTGACCACAGGACAGACAGTGCATATATTCTCAATATTCAATGCAATTTTAAAGTAAGGTAATGAGCTAAGTCTGTTTTGTAAGACTTCTACATTTCTTCTCCTGTGGTTTGCGTTAGTCACGCTCTGTTTCCCTTTCTTCATGCTCTCACTGTCCCAGCTTCTGACTTAGTTGACGTTAGTTTTCAGCCAATCCTTCAGCACTTGTTATTGAGGTCCCCTTGCATGGAAACCAATGAAAGGTGATCCATTTAGAGAAACTTTGTCCTGTTCCAGAGCTCCTCATATTGAGGCCAAGGAACTGACCTTAGGCAGAGCAATGACCTCAAAACTGTGTTGTACTATGTCCAGAGATGTGCTGAAGCCCCCTGCTTAACTGCCACTACTGAAAGTTCTGAGACAGGATTCTTTGTTTTTAGTTGTGTATCTCCTGATGTACCCATCAGAGCTCCACTGGATAGCTCCAAACCATGATCACATCAATGATCCTGGTTAAACAGAAACACCTGAACATGGAAAAGAACTTGTGGGGATGAATGAGACTTAACAGGAGGGAGATGAGAGTAGGGGCATCAGAAATGTATCACACACAGAGTTGTCACAGAACAAATTTAATTAGCAAGAAAATTAAGATGTGCCCCACTGTCACAGCTTTAGACCTATATAAGGGGCAAAAGGACAGCCAAGGAACTATAGGAGAGAGGCGCTGGAGGGGAGGGGCCATTGGAATAGTGAAGAGAGATGAGAGTGCCCTAAGACCAGCATGAGAGGTGACTGAGAGCAGTGGTTCTAAGCTTGTGATCACAGCCCCTTTGGGAGCTGAACAGACCTCTCATGGGGTTCACATGTCAGACACCTACACTGTGATTCATAACAGTAGCAAATAAACAGTTAGGAAATATCAGGGAAAATAATTTTATAATTGGGCGTCACCATGACATGAAAAACTGTATTAAAGAGTCACAGCATTAAGAAGGTTGAACCACTGCCTTTGATATTTTCCAAGTCCCTCTTTGTTTGTTTGTTTGTTTGTTTGTTTGTTGAGACAGGGTTTCACTGTGTAACTCTGTCTGTCCTGGAACTTGCTTTGTAGACCAGGCTGGCCTTGAATGTACAGAGATCTGCCTGCCTCTGCCTCCCGAATTGCTCAGCCTCAAGTTCCTGTTTTCAGTGTGAGGCTGACAGATACTGAGCCAAAGTAGAGTTTGTATGACACTAAGTGATTGAACCAAATTAAAAGAGGAAAGATGAGGGTCTTTGGACTTTATTCTTGGTCTTAAAATTTTATCCTCAAACCATTTTCAGCAATGACCAGAAACGGGACCAACCTTTTCCTGTCTCTGAGACCTCAGGCCCAGTCAGAAAGCTCTCCCTCTGGCCTGTCTTGCCCTTGCTTTCTAGCAGATTGTCTCCCCACCCACCTCTCCACTTCTTTTCTCTATCTGGCTTTGCCCCATCTTGTCCTCTTTTCCTGTCCATATTTTAATAGATTAGAACAGAGCCTTACTTGGAAGAACATACTGGCTTTTTAATTTATTTGTTTATTTTTATAGTACGGGGGATGGAACCCAAGGGCCTGGGTCAACAAGCACCACCGAGCTACATCCCTGCCCAGAAGTATGAACTATAGGTATTTGTTCAATAAATCAAACTAAGTTCTTCAAGTAAATATTGCTAGTCATTAATCCTAGAATTCACCTTTCTCAGAGTTCAGTCTCCAGAAGGGTCCAACAATGTTCTGTTGGTAAAGCTAGGATTGGTGGGCTTATGAAACTGGTTCCAACAGTGCACATCTGCACCCAAGAGTAGAGCCTGCCCATCCAGCACCTGAGTGATGATGTGGGATCCCCCCCCCCCCCCGTATGCTGTGGTTACCATTAATGAATAAAGAAAACTGGCTTGGCCTGATAGGGTAGAACAGAGGGAGTGGGGAAAAGCTAAACTGAATGCTGGGAGAAGGAAGGCAGAATCAAGAGAGAAATCATGTAGCCCCACCGCAGACAGATGCCAGAACTTTACCCGGTAAGCCGCCACCACGTGGCGATACACAGATTAATAAAAATAGGTTAAATTCATATATAAGAGTTAGCCAATAAGAAGCTAGAGCTGATGAGCCAATCAGTGATTTAATTAATACAGTTTCTGTGTGATTATTTCGGGGCTAAGCAGCCAGGAACCAACTAGCAGCCTCCTTCTAACAGAGTGATGGACATCATAGTGGGCAGGAAGTTCTCTGTCCTTGTTGCCTCAGTGCCCCTTCCCATGCTCAGACATTGTCCACTTCAGGCCTGGAGCAGACTTTTGTACCTAGTTCAGAAACACCTGTAACTCTCCCTTTCCTACTGATTTACAAGTGCGCCTGTGTACCCAAGAGTATTGTTTGCTGTTCTTCGTTAATCTCCTGAGACCTGATTTTCTTGTCCGAATTCCTTTCTAGACCATGTATCTCAAATTTGGCGGACACACGTGGCAAAGTAGAACGTTGCTTAGATGGGAGGAGCAGACCAAAGTGTGTGTCAAAATGCAGAGCTATGAAAGGGCAAGTTGGCTTCAGAGCGCTGGCTTAGAAGCAGGGATGCTGCTGAAAATAGTGCTGCGGCTGCCACCCTTGCAAGGGAGCTGAAGGGTGGTGGACTGAACTGGTCCACATGTCAGCGGCAAGCTTACTCAGCAATGCTGGCTCCCTTCTCAGAGAAAAGCGCTACTCTGGGGAGCTCTGCTGATGCCAGCGTGATTTTTCCTTTGAGGAATTAGATGTATGGTCTCAGTAGCTGCTGTCCCAGTAACCACATTTACAAATACGGAACCCTGTAAGGTTGTGTCTGTGATGTCCCCAGCTGTAGGAAATGAGAAGTGAGATAGCCACAGGGGCAAACAGCTTCATCAGATGAACAGGCTGAAGCGCTAAGTCACCTTCTGCTTCCAGAGCGTTGGCTACCCGCTGCCTTTTGTCAATCAGTTCTAAAGTTTCCTAGACTCTCTTGGTCTTGGGATGCTTAGACTCCTGGGCCAGGAAAAGGTAATTAAGAGAGAGTTTCCTTTCCCTCGTGTGCTGGGGCTTAGGACCTTATTTCTGACCTTCAGAAGCCTGGCTTTAATTACTAGCAAGAAAGACTGTGATTAAAAAGAAGCTTGGTGGAATTTTTTGGCGCTTTGGTCAGTTTCATTAAAACAGCACATTTTAGAGGAGAACGTCTTAATTACACTAGCCTAAGTAAAATGCGGATGTGTTCCATTTCCTTAGAACAATGCGGCTTTGTGATGTGTTGTGTTGCACGGCAGTGCGTCACCATTGTCCTTGTCACTGCTAATTAAAGTAGATTGGCAGCTAATGGCCAAAAGACTTTAAAAGACTAAACATATTGTTCACATGTTAATTAACACAAAGTTTGGGTAAGCATGGCCCCCCAAAATAGAAGAATAGAGAAATATTTATTGCCTGCAGCACTAAGGAGAACACGGGAGTCATTCCAAAGTAATGCCCTAATTACTAATTCCAAAGTAATGTTGAGTTAGAGATAGAAGCTATGCATATCCATGAATATCCATGTAGGAAATCACTTTGGGGGTGGGTGTACTACTGAGCATGCTCAATTAAAAATGCATTCCTGAGCATGCTTATTTTAAGGAAAGCTAGTAATAGCAGTTTTGGAACACATTGAGCTCAAGGTCATGGATGTTTTGTGTGTCTGTGAGAGAGAGAGTATAGGATTCTGGAGACAGGGCCGTGAGCGTGTTGTGCGTGCTCCTCCACCTAGCTATACTCCCACCCTTCGTTTTTCAAGACAGGGCTTCCTCACGGAGCTTAGGCTGGCCTTGAACTTGTTTCCTGTGTTCCACAGCTGGGATTTTTAAGTGCACCACACACCTGGCTAAAGCTTGTATGAGCAGAAAATAAAATTGGAATGATTTAATCCAATTGAAGTCATAAATGGAACCTCAACAAATCCTTACTGAAGAATCGGTGTAAATTTTTATGTAAAAAAAATTTTTTTTTTTTTTTTGGTTTTTCGAGACAGGGTTTCTCTGTGGCTTTGGAGCCTGTCCTGGGACTAGCTCTGTAGACCAGGCTGGTCTCGAACTCACAGAGATCCGCCTGCCTCTGCCTCCCAAGTGCTGGGATTAAAGGCGTGCGCCACCATCGCCCGGCTTAT